AGTGTGCAAAGGGTACCGGTAAAAAAGCTGACCAAAATTTCACCCTAACGTGGCACAAAGATTTGAGGGTCAGAGGCAAAACTTTATGTTTTGACGTTTCTGATCCCAATGATAAAGCTGACGTCACTTTATACCCCTGTCATGGTAGCCAAGGTAACCAGTATTGGAAATATAATGTGGTGAGCAGACCAGAGTATGACGTGAATAAAAAAATGTTAAAAAATTATTTTAGGAAAAGCAGTGGTTTGTGCATGGCGGCAACCCGCGTTGCTTGGATTGTGACCCGGGTAAAAAAAGGTTGTACGTCACAACTTGCGATGAAAATTCAAAAACGCAAAAATGGCGCTTTGAGAATGTCAACTTGACAATGATTGCCGACTGGGAGAATATAGGAGTTAAATAATAATAAAATCAGTTTAAAAATTGATGAAATCAAGCAATAATTTTTGACATTCTTTGGTCAATGGATTTACGATTTTGACAGTTTTCTGTCACATTTAATTTATATTAATTTAATGGTGCTCTTTTAAGCAAAATGTACTTACCTACATGTATTATGTTTTACTATTATTGGCATTCCAAATTTTAAACCAAAGTTTTTTAGTATTTTTTATTTTTTAATTATTGAGATATCTTGCCCTAATTTGAACATATCAATATTAAAAAATCGTGTAGAATTCTATAAAAATTAGTTTTTAAAACTGTGATAAATTTTATTCATTTATATGTAGATAGATTAAATGACATGTTGCCATATTGTTAGAGTTTTTAATTATTATATTCGAAATTATACAAAATTTTTGTACTTATAATGAAAAATTTACAAGAAATATTGCATTTTTACTTAAACCTTTTACTTTGTCCTCTAAAAGTCAATAAGACTAAAGACACAAAAAAGAAAAAAATAAATTGAAAACTGGTTAAAATAAAACATTTTTGGCTTTGGCTAGTTCAGCATAAAACGTTTTTGAGTTCATTTAATATATTAAATATCACCAATGATTTTTAAAATAATTAAGGTTAAGACTTTCAACATATGAGAAACGGAATAGCCTTAAACATAGGTGATGTTTGGTCTAGATCATTTAAAAATTGATTTAGACTCGATAAACAATAACAAAATAATCCATAAATACATACATTTTATTCAAAACATAACAAAAATAAAAATAGGTATCTAAAAAATAACCGTTTGGCTTCTTAATTCGAAAGTTTCATCGAAAGCCTCGTGTATCTCTAAAATCATGTCAGAACAAATCATACTTCTTCCGTGTTTGGCGAAAGCTTTTTCGTTGCAAGTTCTCGTTAGTTTCGCGGCCGCGAAGCTGGCAACAGCGCCTCTCAAATCTTCTACATCGTTGCCAGGTGACTTGTCCATTGACCAGCCGAGAAATGTGGCAGCAGCGCCTGAAAGAAGGTCACCCTGACCTCCGCAACGTCTCCCTGACCCTCCACCTAAGGATGTCAAAAGCCTGATTTATAGATTGCCTTCCTTCCTTCCTCCCGTAAAAGATGAACAATACGAAAATCGTAGTGCCATTTATAGATTACCGTACGGGAATCTTTAAACAGCACTACGATTTTCGTATTGTTCATCTTTTACGGAAGGAAGGTAATCTATAAATCAGGCTTTAAAATATAAAAATATGATGAATTACCTTTAACTTTTAAGGATTGACCATGGCTTAAAATCTCGTCTTCCTTATCCTTACACAATATAGTAACATTACCACCAATTTCCTTTAAAAACTTTTCCGCCTGCTCAAGTCTACTGCAACTTGCATTATTTTCCATATTTTGCAAACCTACGAATACAATTTATTTTTATTCACCGCAAAACATTATAAAATTATTTTTTACCCATAAGTCTTTTGAATTCCATCACGTTTGGTGTTAGAATGACAGGTGCAGGGTAGTTTTTTAAAATTTGTCTTTTCGTTGCTATCAAAAAAAGGCCGTCAGCATCTATCACTAAAGGTTTGTTTTTTTGGCGACATATATTTATGATTTTTTCCATTACCTCAAATGTCGAATCCTCTCTACCCAAACCTTAAAAAAGAGTCTTTATCAAAAAGCTCAAAAAACAAAATTGTGGATATACTGTATTAATTGTATGTAATTAATGTAATATATTAAAATACTTTTGACATAAGAAAAAATATAAAAGAAATATCATAAATAAATCCCTTAGTTAAGATATTTACAATCTGGGCCCATAACCTAAAATTTGAAAGAAATGCCCTAGATAATGTCATAAAAGTTGTCAGATTTTATTTGAATTTACCTTCATTAATGACATAATAAACAATTAATAAAAACGCCATTTTTGTAATTAAGCTAGATTTAAACAAAATTTGCAACTTTTTTGACAGAATCTGGAAACGCTTTTGTTACCAACCATAACATAATAAATTAAAGTAGGCAACCAGATTAGCCTAAAGTTCCTAGTCCATCAGTGGCGTACTTTTTGGTAGGATAAAGGAAAAAAAGTTTTAATATATTACATTAATTAGATAACACCCTGTATTATTTACCGGGGCCAATCAATACGACATGCAGCCTGTCAATCCAGGGTTCAATCTGTTTAACCCCATCCTCCTGATCCAAAACTGGCATCACCATCAATTCTGGACTGTAGGATTTAATGACAGTGGCGGCATCTTTCGGGCAAAAAACGTAAACCAAATCTGCACCTACTCTTAGAGAACTGATTGCTGCGTAGTATGGAGCACCTTTTTGTGTTTAAAAAACAGTTGTATTTGTTAAGCGAATGATATCTGACAAATGTCGAATTTTATGATTGGTTCAAATCACAGTGAACAATGAATCAGCCAATCACTAACAACTAATTACTAGCCTCATAAAAGTGTTTACTCTTTAGAGTTTTAACATTCCTTTTGTAAAAATTGTCTAGTATAATGTTCTAGTATAATTTTTAAATATTGTTACATTCATTTTTTTATTACAATACAGTAAAACTTAATAGAAATCGTTACCTGTAAAAATCAAACTCCCGCCAAAAACCCCTATGCGCCCGCTCTGCCCTTTATGCCTGTTGTCGTCTTTTAAAGATGGCGCCAGCTGTTTGGCCACTTTAAAAGCCGAAACTTCGTTCATTTTGCCAAAACAAAACTGCAAGCGGCTGGTGTGAAATTGGCAGTTTTCCAGGTTTGACGGCTTTATATCGAACACTCCACTCACCGCAAAAAACTTCCTTCCAGGGATATTTTTCGATAACAATAACAAGGTCCTTGTTATTGTTTTGACCGATGACAAGCAAAACATCACAGGGATAATCTATAATCAGCTGTACAGCTGTGGCGCCATCTGCCGGAAAAGAGCGCAGTAGTTTTTAAAAGGCGGAAATTCAAATACATTTTTAGAATAATTTTTTAATGTTTGTATTTTTAGTAGAATAAAATGTTATTTTACAATATACAATAACTACAAAGTATTATCAACAAATAAATACTTAAGTACCTATATATTATATTATTATTATAAGTAGAGAAATTGTTAATGTTTATTATAATTATAATAAAATACTATATAAATAATTAATGTACACTTGTACTTTTTTACAATATTATAATTATACTTCTTTATTGATAATTATATTAAACAAATATAATAATGTTACCTACATTTTATTAATATATTTCCCTTATACACTGAGTTCCAAAAAGTTGCACACTTAATTTTTAATTTTGTATTATAATTATAAAACTCTAAATTAACATAGATAAAAAAACTAAAAACAAGAACAAATTACGTCTAATTTATCTCTTTTAAGGAAACCAAAGTATTAATGGTGGTATACAAAGAATATAAACGAGTCACCATCTAAAAAATTAAATTGAATTAAAAATAACATTTTGAAATTTTTATTTATGTTTGTAAAATATTGCTTACCGTGACTGTAAATGAATAATCTAAAACAATATCAGACATTGATAAAGTAAAAGGTTCAATACTATTCAGCAAAAATATGTGCAATGTCCTTTTATTGCTAGTATTCCATAAATACCATGGGGACTCTAATAAAGAATCAAAAAGTGACTCGGTCTAAAAAAATATATATTTAAATAAAATTTATTATTATCCTTTAGGCTCGAAACAATATGCTTATGAATTTTAAGAAATCATACATTTTGAATATTAGAGCTTCACGGAGGTTAGAATTTCGTATCTTTTTTTTAAACATCCCTTTGTATACTTGAAATAAGTTATTGTATCTTTTGACACCTTAATATTTTTAAAAAAATACAACTGAGATATTACGCTTCACGGTGGAAAGTTTTTTAAATAGCAAATTAATGAACTTAAATTCTAACTGACCTTCAGAAATCACATGCATATATAATGTCGTAAACAGAGGTTTTTGCTTAATAAAATGATTAAAGCGCCATCCGTTGCATAAAATTTAAAGCAAAAACAGATTCACGGAGGATAGAATCAATTTTTGTAACACCTACATAAATGGTTATAAAAATTATTTCTTTTAATTTTTAATAATATTTTATATTTGATTGATTTGATTGGATGTGTTTAATTTACTTAGTGAACTGACTTAGTGAACTGATATTTTTAGTATGCTTTTACTACCTCAGATATTTGAAAACATGCAGGTTAACCTAGGAAGAGTCACGGAGGATAGGTTTTAGACTTTTAAAACATTATGAAAAATAATTAATTGCGGTTAAAAATCTGGAACCTGAGCTGTAATATCTACTTAATTATGAAATATCAAAACACAATAAAAGTGTAGGTAATTTATATGATACTTACTGCATCTTGAATATTTTGTCCAACTATAGATACAGACAAAACCAATATTAAAACCATTATACATAAAATAGCCGTCCTTGGATATTCATTGGATATATTTTTTTGCTAAAATGGTAAATTATTTTACAAGGGACTAAATTACTATTGCGGCAGTAAAAGTTACTTACTGCCATGGCAATGAATTATTTCATTTTACTGACATTTAAAAAAAATTTAGTTAAAATTATAGGTAGTTTTGTACATACTGTTAATAGATAAAACATAGTGCAAACTAGAAAAAATACAGCTGCCACAGATTGGATCAAAATTGGGTAATACATTATATCGTAAAGATCCCTTAAAATTCTAAAATAATAAAATTTTGTATTTTTACGACTTTTTTTAATACTTCTCCATACTTTTTTATATCTTGGTGGTATTTAACACAAAAAATCAAACGTTTCTTGATTTCTTTCTGGTAGTTTTTATCATCGTAGAGCTGCAAGTCGTTGCAATCAAAATCTCTGGAAATATTTTCGATAAAATTCTGCAAATTTCTGGTTTGGAAGTAGCATTGCATCACCACGTAAATCACCGGCAGAAGTTCCGCCAAACCAGCGTAAAAAGTTGGCGAAATCGACAAAAAATATAAAAACAAAAAAATTCGTTTGAAAGGCCACAAATACTCTTCTACGAACCAGTAGGCGAAGTAAATTTTTTTGGTGTCTTCGTGCATCGGCAAGAACAAGTAATAATGTATTTGCGTTAATATCGCCACTCCTACAAATAAAATAGACGTCAAATTTCCAACGAACTTAATGTGTTTTTGAGATTTTTCGTCCATCTCCTCAAAGGATCTACAAGCTTTTAAAGTTTCATCGCACAGCTTGGACATCTTGTCCACTTGTAATAGCCCAGTTATTATACAGATATTACACTAAAAATGGTTGTATTACATTGTACAAAAGTATGGTAAATAAACGTTTCGTAGTGAATAAAAATTCTTACATATATAAGTCCAGCTGTAGTAGAATATGGAACGATAAATTTAATAGAAAAAACCTTCAAAAATTGATGAAACATTGACAATGTTACCGAAAAGTGAAGCAAAAAAGACAAAAATATCCCCAATTGTAGAATTTTGGGTTTACACAGATAAACACTTAAATATAAAAGTGTATTTAGGGGACATCCTAAAAAATAATGTTAAAATTACAAAAAAATATATTGAATTTTAAACCTGTTCCCTGTTTTATTGTATAAAAGTTCATTTTATGATATTAACATGTACAAATTAATTTATATTGTAATATTAATGGAGGTTCTATTTTCGACATTATCATTACTATAGTTATTTATTAATTAATATAAGTACCTATTTCTTACTAATAAATATTAAAAGAATATTATTTAATTATATTTAATATTGATTATTTAATGGGTGAATCTCACGAAATGTCCCCCTATGGTGTTACCCCGTGATATTTAATAAAACTAAACTTTTATAGATATTACAGATCAGGTTCCAGATTTTTAACCGCAATTAATTAATTTTTACAATGTTTTAAAAGTCTAAAACCTATCCTCCGTGACTGTTACTCTTTCTAGGTTAACCTATATGTTCTCATATATCTGAGGTAGTAAAAGCATACTGAAAATATCAGTTCACTAAGTAAATTAAACACATCCAAAGCAATCGAATCAGATATAAAATATTATCAAAAATTAAAAGAAATAATTTTTATAACCATTTATGTAGGTGTTACAAAAATTGATTCTATCCTCCGTGAATCTGTTTTTGCTTTAAATTTTATGCAACGGATAACGCTTTAATCATTTTAAATAAGCAAAAACCTCTGTTTACGACATTATAGATGCATGTGATTTCTGAAGGTCAGTTAGAATTTATATGCAGATGAGAGTGTTGCTGTTTTATGATTCAAAAGTTTAAGTTCATTAATTTGCTATTTAAAACCTATCCACCGTGAAGTGTAATATCTCAGTAAGTAGATTTTTTTATAAATATTTTATGTATGCAGAATATTTCAGAATATTCAAAATTAACAATTTAAATGCGCAAAAAAATAATGAAGTAAAAAAATATTTCTCTAAAATGGCGAATGCGCTGGGATACTGAGCTTATAATTAAATTATATTTATAATATACAGAGTATATAAATAATTTATAACTTTTTTATTAAATTGCATATATTGTAAAAAATTATGAAAAATCAGCACAAAAAGCAAAATCAAATGTGCAAATATGTTGAAACAAGAACTGTTAGAGAGATACATAAACCTCAGTACCTTCAGAATTATGATATTTATTCTACATATTTGGATTTTACATAACCACAGGATCCTCAAACATTTTTAAAACAATTTTGAATGGCAATAATGACTCATTATTAATGCATCTCTCAGAAATACTCAAATTAGCAGTTCGTGTGGTATTTCTTAAAATAAATCTGCAATAGGAACAAGATGGGTGTTTCGAGGTGGGGGGCAAATTATAGAAAGTAAAATTTTCAGAAATAATAAAAAAATTTATTTAATTTAAAATATATATACATGTTAAGCTTACATGTATACATGTTAAGCTTAAAATAAAGATATTTATTTTATTAAAATTGATCGAATATATTAATAAGGTTAATACTAATTTTTATAAATACTTAATAATATATATATATATATATCCTATAATGGTAACATTCTATACTTTAAGAAAACAGCAAATGTATTTGAAAAAATAACTAATTAAAAAAAAATGCAATAAAAATATATACTTATTTCAGAAACTACTGGAGTTAGAAAAAATTTGTAAGGGTACAAATTTTATGATCTAAATAAAAAAATTAAATACTATATTTGCATTTATACAGAGTGTTTGTTATTTTCAATGGAACACCCTGTATTTTTTTGAATTTTTGGATTCCACACACTTTTTAAAATAATTAGTAGTCTATAGATTATATATTTTTGTCAAAATGTTATACAGGGTGTTTTATAGACCTCGTCAAAGTTGGAGATTAGATAAAAATGTTGTTTTTTTAATAGAACACCCTATATATATATTTTAATATTTTAATAGAAAATATAATTTTCTTTCTTTTGACTTATTTGTCCTATATATATTTTTTTAATTATTGGAATATGGTAATTTTATTATTATTATTATCATTATCATTATTATTATAAATTATTTAAAAAAAAGTATGTTAAGATTACTTTATCTACTACTCCTTTAACTTTATTTGCTTTAGAGCAACCAAACTTTTGATTGTAGTGAACATAGAATATAAACGAGTCATCATCTAAAACGTCAAAAATGAAATAGGAATTTAATTTAGTTTGTAAACTGTTTTTTTACCGTTACTGTAAATGAATAATCCAAAACAATATGAGACATTGATAGAGTAGAAGGCTCAACGCAATTGCTCAAAAAAATATTCAAAATTTGTTTGTTGCCAGTGTTCCATAAATACCATGGACAGGTTAATAGAGAATCAAAAACAGATTCGGTCTAAAAAAATAGATATTAATGGACAAACCTTTTTTTTAAATTAAATTACTTACGGCTTCTTTTATTTTTTGACCCACTATTGACAGGGAAGTAATTGCTATTAAGACCATTACAATTAATGAGGCAGTCCTCAGGTATTCATTGGATATATTTTGTTGCTAAAAATGACTTAAAAAATATATTTACATATACCTACATAACTTATGTTGTAAGTACAGTAAAAAGGTAAAACATAACAGCGACTAAAAAGCATACAGCCGCTATTGATTGGACCAAAATTGGGTAATACAGTATGTCCTGAAGATCACCTAAAACGCTAAAATACTGAAAATTAATAGTTTTACAACATTTTTGACCTATTGTACGTTTTAATTTCTTGATGGTATTTAACACAGAAAATCAAACGTTTCTTGATTTCTTTCTGGTAGGTTTTATCATCGTAGAGCTCTAAGTCGTTGCAATCAAAATCGCTCGAAATGTTTTCGATAAAATTCTGCAAATTTTTAATTTGGAAATAGCATTGCATGACAACGTAAATCACAGGCAAAAGTTGGGCCAAACCAGCGTAAAATGTGGGAGATACCGATAAAAAATAAAAAAATAAAAAAACACTTTTAAAGGCCCAAAAATAGTGTTCAAAGAACCAAAAAGCATAGTAGATTTTTTTTGTGTCAGGTTTGAATGGCAGGTATAAATAGAAATGTAATTGTGTTAATATCGCTATAATTATTGCTATCACGGAAATGATTTTTCCAATGACTTTTACTTGTTTTTGATATTTTTCGTCCATGTATTCAAACGATCTACATTTTTGTATGGTATCTTCGCAAAGCTTGGCAAATTTGTCAACATTTATTAGGCCAAATATTATACAAATTTCGCACTAAAAAATAGACAATATATATTTTTATAGTAGCTAGTATTTATATTAATCTAAATAAGAAATCTCACATAGAGAAGTCCGGCAGTGGTGGCATATGGAACAATAAATTTAATGGAAAAAGCTTTAATAAATTGATGAAACATAGACAATGTTATCACTAAGTGAAAGCCAAAAACCATATACATCAATATTTGACAAATCCATGGTTTAATCAAATAAAGACTTAAATAAAGAAGTGTATTGAGGGGGCATCCTAAAAACGTTGTAAAAATAGGAAAATAATGTAAAAAATATTAATTTTATACCTTTTCCAGGCTTCACTGTATTAAAGTCCATGTTAAAATTAGTAACAAAGTTAATATTGAGAAACTAGTGTTTTATGTGGACTACATAAAATAGAGCTTTCCTTATTTACATTATCGTTAATGGTCATTAATATATTATTAATAAATAGTTTATTAAGTATTTAGTTAATATTTAATATTTGCTTGTAGGCAATATTTTCTATAGTAATTGTTTTTAATTAAGTAAAAAAAAGACAAAATAGAAAAATCTTTTTAGACATTTTATTCAGCCTTAATAAACATTAATATACAAGGTGTTCGATTCAACCAAAATCTTCTTATTAAGGAGTTTTTTATAAACAAAGTAGCCCCACATTTATTTTAATTATCATCTATAAAACATCTAATAAAACCATATTTTCTTATCACTAATACAAAAAAACTAGTAAAACATTCAGTAGACTATGTTCACAAGGACTGATAAATTCGAAATTCAAAAGTATTTATAAAAAAATTTGTTTGCACACGGTTTTGCACACGCCTGTAGAATATATTCTTTGGGACAAGTGAAATATTTTTATCAGTTTTGGATTAGATCTGTGATATATATCTACTTTATTACCATTTAAACCTCCTATTTTTTCATGCTGCACAGAATATACCTACGTAAATATTTATTTTCAAAATTTGAACGAACTTTTTTTTCTATTATTTTTTAACCTTACACGACCATATAAAACCGTTTACAAAAAGGTTTTTTAGTATTAATGACACCCTAATGGTATTATTCATAGAAATTTTGTAAATTTTACAAATCCCTTTTTTATAATATTAATAAAATTTATGTAAATTTAACAACAAATTAATTGTTAATTCAATAAACTATTTTCATTGTAACAATGGTCACATTTTCAACCTACTGTTGGGTGTTGGGTAGTTTTTTTTTTAAATAATTGCAAGGCATTAAAACAAATTGTTTATTATAACAAAAAAATTAACTCATATTATATGATGTACAAAATAAAAAAATATGAACTCACTTTTTAAACAAGTCTGCTTCGTTTATAGAATAGACCTTAAATATTTCTTTTAAAAAACGTGCAAATTTTAATTTTCTTAGATTTTACCACACTTTACTCGCACAAGTGAAATCAATAAGATTATAACACACACTGTGGATTATAAAGTTATGTTCACCAAGGAGAGCGCTGGCCCTTTCCCCCTCTATTTAAGGGAAATAACAAAAATTTTGTTGCCATTGCTAAACAATAGTAAATATTAAAAAAGTCTTTTTATAGCAATAAAATATTTTTGTTATTGTTCTTAACGTAAGCTATTAACAGAAATAAAATTAATTTGAATTACAACGATAGTAATTTAAAAAAGACAAATATGACATAGTAAAATGAACAAATTTTACTGTAACAACTCATTACTTTATGTAAGCTCAATTCACAAACAACTATAAATATGATACAACCACTTATTCGTAGCATTTTTTATTATTGGGGTTATCTATAGACGATCGTCATGAGTGCCTTGATTATTGTATCTAGGAATTATTTTTTTCTTTGTTGGTATTAGACAATTAGATCTAATTATAATATCGATATTAAGATAAAATGTAATAAACAGTATTAATACTGTTTATTAAATTTCCTTATTCCCCTTATTCCAGGTCCAGTTTATCAAAATTTTTGTCTCTTTTTAAGATACAGGGTGTTAATATTTTTAGGATTTCATTTTATAAAATGAAATCCTAAAAATATTAACACCCTGTATCTTAAAAAGAGGAAACAATTTTGATAAACTGGACCTGGAATAAGGGGAAAATGACATTTAATATATTTTGAAATATAAAAGATAAATTCTCTAAATTTGTTATTGATAATTAAATTTAAAACAATGTAGGTAATGATAATATCAAGATAATTACCAACTAAATTAGTTTACTGGAATGTCAAGAGTTTGCAAAATACAGCTGTACAGCTAATTTAATTAAAGGTACGCAAATAAATATTTTATCTGGACAAAACTGGAAGCTTAAAGAAACAATAGAATCTGAAGAAATATTTTATAAAAATATTAACAATGAAATCAGATGTAACCAGTTAATATTCAAAATTTAATTAAGGCAGCTTATTTTTTAATAAACAGTAGGTTTATAAACCTAAACCTTGCTTAAAAACTTTTTTTGTTAAATTTTGTAGACTGTTATTTTTAGAAGTACCTAATAAATGTTTGAAATAATATTTGTAATACCTTTCCTTTATAGGAATCAAAATCATGACCCACCTTAAAATCTTAAAAAACCAATCAAAACGTTGATTAGTTAATTATCAAATCACTATCAATTTATGGAGGGGTCCCAGCACAAATTTATATAAATAAACAATGCAACCTGTATAAGTGAACTATTATTGAATTAGCACAAAAAAATACAATTATTTAAGTAACTAATCTTAAGTATAACAACAAATAAAATAAATTAGGTATTTGTGTTAGTTTTTCAGTTTTAAAGTGGTAAGTAATTGCTAATCTAGTTTGTTAAAATTTTCAAGAATATTATTTTTTGTTGCTTATGCGATATATATATATAATTGGTGTCCTTAAGTAACAAAACGTTAAAATAATAATAAAAATGTTGTTTACATTTTACTGTTTATAGGTTCAATAAAACTAAATCAAAATGAAGATGTATGTAAGTAATAAAAAATTCTACCAATAAATATGTAAATTAATACATTATATTTTTAATTTTAGTTTCATTTTACTAACGGGGATTTAATCCTTTTTAAAAATTGGAAGTATACTACAACTGGTGGTCTTATTGGTTATATGTTTGCTATTTTTCTAGTCGCAATGGCCTATGAAGGTTGTAAATATTTAAGGTAACGTAATTTCCATTGTAACAAGTTGTTATTAACAATATTTTATCATTTTTAGAGAGCATTTGTACCAAAGGCAACCCAGAACATCATTGTAAGTACTACCAACCCCTAAAACAAAAAATAACCATTTTATTTGAAAACAACCTTTTTAGATCGATGTGGAATGGTCAGCACTTTATTCAAACAATTTTTCAAATGATACAAATGTGGATCTCCTATTGTCTTATGTTAATAGTTATGACATATAACGTTTGGCTCATTCTAGCAGTTGTGGTAGGGTCAGGTGTGGGCTATTTTCTGTTTGGTTGGAAAAGGATATCCGCTTTTGATACTACAGATTGTTGCCAGTAATATTCTTTTAATTAAAATAATAATTTAGTTTTCAAGCTGAATATTTTAAGGTAACAGTATGCATACCTACTTTTCTTAATGCTTATTTAAGCCATTACCTCTAAAATACTCTATTATTTTGCTAATTCAGTTAACTAATAAACTACTAGATTTATTGTTTTTTTGATGATTAATTTTTCTAAAATTTTGTCTTATTTTGTAGTACTGTAGGTATATATATACACAAAATAATTTTGTTATTGTTGTAAGATAAATTTTTAAGTCTAAATAAATACATAGTGGATCAAAACATGTTTTTCTATAAGTTCAGGGAATAATAGATTATAAATATTATAAAACTCAGACAAAAACACGGCAACCAAACCATCAACTACACAAAACCGCGACCTGGGTTGCCTACCTACATCGAGCAGCCAGCACTGACCTTGAGAATGCAAAGCACGGCGGGGTGCCTATCTCGAAGACTTTCACCCACACCTGACACCTGTGGAATACTACCGCACTAGCGCCCTCTACAAGCGCAACCAGCAAACGTGTTAAAAACTCTTCGTGTATCTGTCAGAGTCGAAAATGGCGTTGAGGAGCGAAGACACTGCTAAAGATTAGTGTTAAAAGCAGTGAGGTTGTAAAGACTATGTGTTCCGATTTTTGTTGGGTAGTGTTGTGATTGTTTTTCCACGGAATATGTTTGTTGTTAAGGTTTTATAGTGCCAAATTAATTGTTAATATGGGGAGGCTGTGTTTTTGTTTTTTGTCTGCATCGATTCTCCTTTACTTTACCCAGGTATGTTGATCTTATATTATATTATTAATACACGTGCTATTTTTATTGAACACATGGCCCAAAACGCTTATTTATATATATCAGGGTTATTTTTATGTATGATTACAAACTATATTTTTAAACATAAGCAGATTATTTATTTATTGTTAATACCTAACGCGTTACTTTCTATATCCCGCATTCTTTTGTAGTTTTATGTAACCAACAAAATAAGAATTGTTTATTTGCATTTTTAATCAGGCAATTAAAAAAGAAATCAGAACATGCGTGAAATACTTATTTTTGTTTAACAAAGTAGGTATCTAGGTAACAATTGCCTTAAATAAAATAGTGCATACCAACCTAAAAACATTAAACTATTAGTATTTATATACAGGGTGGGCCGAAAATTGCACGGTTTGAGTTAAAAAGTTTATTAAACTCGGCAACACTGTGAATGCCATAAGATGGAATAATCCATATCTAATAATTATGGACATAATTACACATAGGGTATATGAGAATGTTTTTATTTGCCACTTGCAGCAAAAGGTTTTTTGTTATAATACAGAAAACGGATGTACGCTTGGAAAAGTTCTTAACTTTATGGGAAGATTTAAAAGATAGGTAAAATAAAGATGTACAATACAAATTACATTTGACAAAATATAATTTAAACAATGGAAATATATTCCGTACATTTTAAGGTAGGTAATTAATATAATTAATAATAATAATTATTGTAGGCAATTAATTTGTTAATTTCACACAGATTATACCAAAATAAAAATCTTTAAAAAATATAAAAAATAATGGGAAAGGTCAACTTTTAACACAAGAAATACAGTTTTTGTATTATGTTAGGAAAACAAGACAAAATAATTGTTAAACTGGCGGATACATAACCTTAATTATTTGACAGCATTCTTTATTCAAATGTCAGGTGGGATTTTTTTAAGTGGAGCATAGCAGTTCAAAATGATAATGAAAAACACATTAAAATTGAAATTAATTATTTGTATAGGGGACTATGTCTGTTTCCTAATAAAAATTAAATGGGGGATTGAAGAGGTCAAAACTGTGAAATGTTTTGGAAGCAATTTCATTACAGCAAATTGCTTTGTAGTAGCTATTCATAATCTAATTTAAATTAAACTAGTTTAACAGTGATTTACTGTAAAAACCTTTTTTAATGGACTACCCACAGATTGAAGAAAAATTATACATCATATAGGTACCTACTACAAAAAAATAAAAATAACCTAATGTAATGATTTAAAAAGTATACCTACTTACTTAAAGTATATTTTACTATTTAGGTTCAACAAACTTAAAAGTCAATGCATATAAAGGCGTATAAATAACAGTTTTTATAATCAAAAAATCATCTTGATCTATTTCTTTGTAAGTAGAGTCTCTATACTAACCAAATTGGCTGTAAAGAAACAAAGCAACTTTCGCAACAAAATGCTTTAAGTCACAATTTAGAATTGGGAACAATCGTTATGGCCTTGTTAGGTTAGACTTAATTGAATTAAACGGTCGAAAAATTGGTCACGAATACACAAAAATAAATTTGTTAAGAGCATTAGTCTTCTTTGTTCTTTGTAAGAAACAGTTTTGAGATTTTTAAAAAATCCTGAGAAGCTTGTAGTATTTACCTGGTTAAAAAAAGTTTGCTCTGCCAACTTAAGGGGCCTAAAATTTTAAGTTAGGTACTTATAAAATGGGTTAAGTAATAGTATCTTTTTATTGTAAAAAGTGGTATAATCGTAAGTAATATCATAAGGGCATTTAATTTTTCCGAAAAGAATCGAAAAAACACGTTGCTAAGTAATATTTTAACAAAAAGCATGAGTGCTGGTGGCAACAAAAATCCGAGTCGAAGAGGAGGATTTTTGCACCTGCACGAATGCATTTTGTTAAAAAATATTACTTAGCATTGTGTTTTTTCGATTTTTTTCACAGGAAAAATTAGATGCCCGAATGGTATTTGACAAGACTATTTCATGAGTAACAGTTAACAATTAAAATATAAATTGCAATTTTTGGTGACATCAGCTGTCAAGTTTTGCCGCGGGTAAACTCGAATAAACTGCTGACAGGTGCTGTCACACAGTTTTTTCACCTAGAAACCATTTGTAATTCAAAATTGCGCGTTTGTGATTGGTGGAAATTAAGACGAGGGAAATAGTCGCAATAAAAATATAGAAAATTCATTATTAATCGTTTTAAATTGCATAATTAATTTGTTTTTTATTAATTTTATGTAACATTTCTTGAAACCAAATGAAACTGTGGTTAAGCCATTGCATTTTGCAAATAATTATTAATATGTTAATAAACAAATTAAATTATCATAAAAATGATAATTATTCCAAATTATTGTATGCCTAAACAATTCCGGAAATGTTATTTTTTTAAATTTATTTTAATGACATGTTAAACTGTTGTTTTTTGCAATAAAGTGATTATTTTCATGTGAATTTATTTATTATTGTATATAATCTTAATTAATTATTCTTTTATCAACAAACTTATTGTGAGAAGAAAATCACGTTTTTAGGTTAATTTAAACAATATCTTGGTTAAACAATGTACCTACATTTTCTAATTTAAATGGTTTAACTGTACCCATTACACTTTTTGAATGTGTTTGAAATACTTATTAACATATTCGTGTATTGCGTAGGTCTTTTAATTGGTTAGATAAACTATTTTTTGCACTATTTACGGTAAATTGCAAATGAATAAATTGTTTTGTTTAAAATTAGTTGTATTATTAGGTAGGTAAATTACAAAATATTTTAATTAAAATTAATTTTACAGTATACCTACCTAAATTAAGATTTTTTTTTACAATAATATAAATATTAGGGTACATTGTTTTTGCAATATATAAATATACAGTGTCCTAAAAACATATTGCCCCTTTTTGAGATACCGAGTGTTTTATTATTTCTTTAATTAACCAGATAAAATAGCCATATTTGATACCTATGCATTTATATCTAACAAGTACCTATTTTTTTTCTAATATTATACCCGCTGACCATTTTGTCTTATTCTTATGTAAAATCTCTTAAAAAAAATTGATAATATAATAATGAATAATGAACCTATTATTATATTGATAGGTGTAAAAAATAAAATGTTTTTGTACAGGAAATTATTTAGGTATTAGGTATCAATCATTAAGATGCAAACAGTTAACTGGCGTTTATAGAGTTAGATTTCTACAGTACTTGTAAGGAATTTGAATGATTTTTTTACGTTACTTTTAAGTCAAATATATTGTTTCTAAAAAACTGTCAAATTTAACATTGACGTGCAAGATGGTAATACTGGTAAATTCGTGAAAACCTTATAATCGATTTTTGATTGTTTCTATCTAAACTACCTGTTTTTACAATCTAAGGTAAAAAGCTATAAAATTTCATGTGTATTTTATAACAAATATTGTTATTTTTTAGCGCTCAGAAACCATAAATTTTGACGAATAATTTATGATCTGGCAACACTGTTTGAGAACTGCAACACTGCTCTTAAAAGATAGAGTTATATTTGGTTTACGTATAGGTACTATAGTAAAGAATAAAAACAATTGGTGGCCCCTGGTATAAATGGTATTATTGTAGACACTCCCTAAAAATGCCGTTACTGTAAACCCCAGTGTTGCTATTTTAGTTTTACGTTAAAAGTGGCAACAAATATTGTTGTTTTTAATATTAAACTGGATATTTAATAAAATATGTTCAAACGGGTTTCTTAATAATTTAATTTAATATTATTTTTAAAACCTTGAAATCTTATTCATATTAGGTAAAATCTCGATACAACAATATGAAAATTAATAAATATCAGCAAATTACACTGCCCAACGCATATTAAGTTCACCACAAACTTGATGAAAATGTTTATTAGACAAAATCTTTAATCGTTAGGTTTTTAAAAAAAAAAGTTCACTAAAAAACAAACCTATTGTAAAATTAAATGCAAATTAATTACATATTTTTTATTATTTCAAACAAATTATCGCGAGTCATAAGTTAAGTGTAATTAGTGGGAAAATAGTTTTAGTAGTTTGTATAAGGCAAATGGTTTTCACCTTCAAAATATAATTGCTACCTATACTATACTGCACAATTCACTTATTATTTACCTGTACTTATGTACCTATGTAAGTATGGTATAATTTAATAATTTTACAAAGTTTTTCATTCATAAACTTGAGTACAAAAATAAATGAACATGTAATCATTACTTTGCAAACTTGATTACATATTTTATCAAATTAATTCAACTGAGCAGAGGTCGAGATTTATGTATTTCTGTTCAATAATACCGCAAAATTAAAAAAATGGTTACAGATAGGTCAAGATTTAATAAACATTGTTCACACATTTTTCATATTTTCCTGTACATAAAAATACTTTTCGGTACACCCTGTATAAATTAAATCACAAGAAAGACCTTGTTCATTGCTTTTATTAAGTATTTTTATGTTTTAAGGCTT